AGTATAATTTTTTTAAATTTAATAATTCAAACTTACAGTGGGATACCACATGCCACGTGTCTAAAACAGCAAATTCTAAAATAATACAAACACATCAGATGTAAACTTAGTTGAAACTTAACTAAATAAATGCAAAAGTTACAGTATAAATTCTACGACCAACTTAAACCTACAATGTGACACTAAATGCCATGCCTCTAAAGCAGCAAGTTGTAAAATAGTATAAATAACTCATATATAACCTTAGTTGTAACTAAATTAAATAAACATGAATGTTAAAAGAAAGAGAAGTTCCAATATAAATTTTTTAATTTTACAACTAGTTTTAACTTACAGTGGGATAACAAATGCTATGTGTCTAAAAAAGAAAATTTTAAAATAATTTAAACACACCAGTATAAACTTAGTTTATGATATTGGATGCCACATGTTTAATTTAAAAATTAATAAAAATTGCAATTTATAAAAGCATATTAACTATCCATGTAAACTTAGCTGTTTAACTAACCTTTTACTACTAGTAAAGGATTAGTTGAACTATTATTTACATAATATAGACTATATGGATTGCATATATATGGATTGCATATATATCTATCTAGAAAATTATGCAAGAATATATATATATATATATATATATATATATATATATATATATATATATATATATATATATATATATATATATATATATTCAAAACTTTATCATTTTCAAAATAAAAAGCTATAATATACTGAAAAACCTACCTACTAAAATAATTTATCAAACGATTAACAAAATAAGATGCTCCTCATAACGACACTAGTCACTACAATGCGCGCTTCATAATGAATTTTTACTTTACGGCAAGTAATTTATTTGTCGATGGACAACTTAGTTAACAGGGAAACAAGTTAGTTACTAGGAAAAATAAAGGTAAATTAGTAAAATAAAGTAAATTGATGCTGACCAGTGCCGTACTATCGCAAGTGCAACAAGTGCAATCGCACTGGGCCCCCTATTAAATACATTAGAAAAACTTCTCCAATACCATAAATTACCACGAATTGAAAGAAAAAAAATTTTATTTTAGTTTCTGCACAGGGTCCCCAAAAGTTACAGCACGGCGCTGATGCTGACGTACGCACAGAGGATAGTATCCCCCCCTAACTATCTCAAATTTAAATTCTATAGTTAAATATTATACTATACTTTGCTTTTGTAGTTTTAGTGCTATAACAATTTTTTTGAAAATTTGAGATCGTCGAAAAGTTTCGTATACAAAACTTTTTTTTCAAGATCACAACTTTTAAAAAATTGTTAAGGGAAATGTTTTTTCATTATATAGTTTGTTTTTGTTTACTCATTTGAGATTTGTGTTTTTAATTTATTTGGAACCAAATAGGAAAGAAAAAATGTTGAGGCACTATATTCAAGACTTTCCTGTTTTACATTTTTCAAAGATTTATTTACTTCATTATTTCAAGCACTTCTAACATAATCTAATAACTTATTTTGTATGATCTTTTTTCTATAACCACAGCTGCACATTAGTAAAAATAATAAAGCTCAGGGATAAAAAAACAATGAAAAAATATCTAGTTGACAAAAAATTATATATTTAAATAATTTAAATTTTAATATAATTATATAAATAAGATTATAGATAACAGTTTAAAATTCTAAAATTTCCACTAAAAAGAGTCTCTTATGAGCTTTTTTTTTTCAGTTTAAAAAAAGATATCAAGATAGATTAAATCAATAAAATAAAAACATATTTGTTAGAGATAAAAAAAATCAGAAACTATCACTTGAATACATTGTATATTTTAGTAAACTAGCCAGTAGTTCAATTACACATTTAGGCTTTTTTCCAGTGTCAAGATCATAATGAGTCTGAATGAACTGCCAAAAATAATCAGAAATTGGATCATATTGAATATTGAAACACCAGTAAAGTTTGAGCATTCGATCTATACCTTCCGTTATAGATTTGCCTGCATTGATTATTTTTTTTTCATATGCAATGTTTATTGATAAAATAGTTTCGCCTTCCTGCCCTTGTATTAACAAAACAGGATATGGGTTCTCAAGATTTTCTGCGAAAAATGCAATCGACTCACCGACCTAAATATTAAAATGTTATTTTTTAATGCTTGACAATAAAAATTATTAGAGATAGTGGCTTTTTCATTTTATTGCAAATCAAGTATCTGGTGGTCATACTTCTCAAATACGCTGTATGAACATTTTTAACATTAAAAAATTATTTTATAGAGGTAATACTTACATTGCATATCATAATGTGTTCCATTATCTCAGGGGCAGATTTCCTTTGCTTTCCTCCTTTCCGTAATAAATAGCATAACATTTTGCATGCATTATACACTCGCCAATCTAGATAATAAATCATGACGTTTTCAAAAAAGGTTTTCTTAGGCATACCATTTTCAATAGTATGCTTGAAAAAAAATTGAAAAAAAAATTGAATATAAACATAGTATACCTTCATTACTCTGGTTAGGTGCATTGACTAGGTTTGTCAGATAACTAACTTTCATTAGTCCACAATACTGATAAAGTGGCTGAACAGTTTTATTCAAAAATGTATCCAATAAATGTGGCTTACATATAGGATATTTGGTTGAAAATTCAATATCAATCTAAAAACGTCATTATTATATCAGAAAAAATTATCAACTAGATAAGACATTTATCGAAAAAAAAGCAGGGTATATATATAATCAAATAAAAATATAATCATATAGTACAAACTAAGTAGAGAAAATATTTAATGTCATTGTTGAATATATTCGTTGCACATAAAAAAGTTAAATGTATGTTTGTACAAATAAAATTTTAGCAAATACAGAATAATACCAATTCAGGAATTAATGCAAATTTAGGATAATTTTTTATAATCGTAGACAAGACTGGTTTCTCATCTGCAACCCATGTCTGTCGCAAACAAAAAGTAGATTGTGTACATTGCTTTATTTCCTCGACTCTGATGGAGGCAAGATATCTTAGTTTGTCAACATCTTCAATGTTTGAAACACCTATGTAAAAGTCAAATGTTGTTTTAAATTTTTTACCTTCATCTAATAATTTGCAAATGAAATTAAAATTAAATCTAAGAAAACCAATTCATTGGATTCCATTATTTAAAACTTAGTATCCATGTTCATAAACTTCCAAAATGAAAACAAACCTCCACATATCATACAATCTGCCAAGCCACGAGGACATCCTTCTTTCCATTTTTTTGAGCAAGAAGCTTCTTCTGTTTCTTCAGTAAAAACCCTGGAAACAGTAGAATCAGGTATTTTGATTTTAACTGCTTCCCTTTTTTGTGACCAGGTATGCTTTTTAGCTGAAGCTAAATAAAAATTGGTAAGACTTTCTTAATTTTACAAAAGGCTAATGCATTAATCAAGAACCATTTAATTTATAATTTGTGGTGCCACTTGATTATGAGCCAATTGCTCCACATAAGTTGGGGCAAATACTAAAAGACTATACATTATAACACCATAGTTATAATACAATTTTAAATGTTACGTGATTAAAATAAGAGACACAGTTTAAAAATAAGTTCAAATGTTTTGTTAATAATATGATTATTATTAAATACTCACGCAATAACTTTCTCCTTGCATTTTCCAGAGCCCTGTCAAGATACCCATTATAACTTACAGGATCATAAAAAATGCTGCTTGGCAATCCAAGAGTTTCACCTAGCAATACTGCAACATTGCTTTTTTGAAATTTGTTTGGATAGTTTCCATATAAGCAAACCATTTTGTGCATAACAACTCTAACAATATGTTGTCTTGCATTGCAATTGACATTGAAATTATTTATTTCATTCATATATTGTAAGGTATTCTATTTGAAAAAATGAAATTTTGTTAAGTAAAAACAAATTATAATAAAATTTAGACAGTTAACATAAACAATTAATACTGTAATATAAAGGACATGGTAAACAATGAAACTTTATATTATTTAAAAAATGCACTCACTGGATGTTGTGCTAGGTAAGCCTTTAACGCATTTGAACAAGAAAATGTATCATCCTGACTCAATATCGTTTGGCCGGTTTTATTGGTATCAAAACAGTCCTCTTTAATATATGCAGAACTGCAAACCTCAGGGGTAAACACAGCCTGTGTAACATATTATTTATAAAAAAACAAATCAAAAATAAATAAATGGATTTAAATTATTAAAGAAAATTGAAAATAACTTGCTTACCAAGTTGTTAGGTACCCATTTCTCATCATTGACAAGCACTGTAATAGTTGTACCGCTATCAGAAAAATGTTTCAACACTTCGTAGTCAAAATCATCAATTTCTGTTCCATCGGTTTGAAATGCAAATTTAAGATCATTTCCTGACAACAAACCAAATTTACTGGCAACTACAATTAGAAATGACAACACATTTATAAACTGTAGAGGAACAAAACATTGACAAAATAGTATCTATTTATCAAATATAAATAATTATTTCACCCTTAGTAACGAAGTCTTCATCTTTCTTCAGCAAAACTATTTTTTTTTTGGATTGATCAACAGACCATATTTTCAAAATAAGAGACATTGTATATATATCAGTCAGAAATGATATAAACTAAAACAGATATCAATTTTTTCAAAATCATTTCTATATATATATATTCAAAATCATTTTATATATAAATTTTATAGTATGTTATAGTACAGGGTTCCCACAGAACAAAAAAACACCTTATTCCAAGACTTTTCAGGACCATTTTCTAATTTGTTAGTAATGTTTAAGAAAAAATGCCATGTCTTTCCAGGACACTAGTCAAACTCCTGGACTGTGGGGACCCTATAGCATATAGTATTAAAAAACAACATCTTCATATAATAAATATTTAAAGCAAACTAAAAGAGTTTTGCTATAATGCACTACTATGTAATCAGTATGCAGTTTTTCTTAATAAGCGGTGAAATTATTTAATAATAAAATTACAATGGCTAACAATAACAATTAAAAAATTCTGTAACGTGTGCCGATAAACATTTGGTCACATAAGTTAGTAATGTTATAAGGATGATAATCTTTACAACTATCTGCATTGATAACAATATTTTTAAACAAAATTTTATTTCTTTGTACCACATAAGCATAAAAATGCTCATTAAAATTTATTGTTTCTAGTGGATTCAGCACCAAAAAAGATTTAGGTGCAATATAAACAATACAGAGCAGCTCTCCAAATTGTGGATAACCTTCTACTACATCATGACACAAAATGCAACCTAATTTGATTAGATATGATCCAAAAGTAATCGAACAAGAAACATAAACTTCATCAAATATATTCAAGTTTAATGATTCACATAATATGCTTCCAATTTCCACATGCAAATTTCCAATAATAACTTTATCACATTTACCCAGCTGTTTAATATCTGAATATAATGACCGACTAAATAAGCAATTAGCAAGTTTTAATTGGTATCGATGCATGACAGAGTAACAGATGTTTTTAAAGTTACATATAACTGAAGAAAGTTCTTTAGCAAAACGATGTTTTGCCTCAAATCGCATACACCAATATCTACTCAAAGGTCCAAACTTAGCCATACACTCTGGATAATGCAGCATAAAGTGATGCTTTGGGATTAACCTGCTTTCTGGGTAAACTGATTTAAAGTAGCAATGATGCTCTTCAATTAAAAATTCAAGCTGAGTAATAGGACCATCTGTAATTGCTGGAGCAAAAATAATATCTAAACAACGTAATAACAGAATTAAAAGTTTCCAGTGGGGTTCTTCATCTGGAATATATTTTCCGATCATGAGAGGCAAATTCCGTATTAGGCACCATGATTCAGCAGCTTGAATGCGTATATTTTGAAGATTTATTTCTGGTGGTTTGCTATTTTTGTCTGCCAAGGAGTAATTAAAATTATTTATAGCATTATTTATATCTAAAATGGATATAATTTTTTTCTCTGTCAGAGTCCGTAACACTAGGCATATTTCTAATGGCACTACCCCTTCCAGCAAATCATGCATACAATCAACAGCACTTTGTTCTACACAGTGAAACCAGTTGAGACAGTTAAAAGAACAACCATGTTTTATGCCAGTTTTAGAAGGATCATAATCAGTTGGTTGAGATTCAACTATACACCGATTGTAGTCAGCTATTGTTCGCTTTTCAAAAGCTATTGACCTAAAGGTTTCTTGCAATTCAGTTTGAGTACATTTACAAAAACGACAAAAATATGTTGCACGAAAACTTTCCATAAAACCAAATAAAGAATGTGCTCCTAAATTATCTGCTGAAAAAATGACAATTATCGCATGAATAGTTATTTCCTTTCCATTTACTTTAACTTGAACCCCTTGCTCACTTTCTAATTCTTGAAGCTGACACAAAACATTTTTTAAAACATTGTCATACGAGTAGCTTGTAATATGTGCATCTAAAGCATACCACAGTCCAATCAAATAAATGCTGTCTGTCTTAGACTGATATTCTGGCAAAACATTTCGAACTTGCATGTATAAAGCCTCAAGTTTATGGACAATCGTGTGACTTCCTAACACATTTGTGACTTCAAATGCATCAATAAAAAAATGTAGTAAAAACGTTTTTGGAAATTTTTGGAGAAAAGGATGATTGTGAAATCTGCGTGTGTCAAAGAAATCTCTAACTCTTGTTGGAATCGAACTAGGACTGCACACTGGAAAAATAATTTTTTCGGATACAGACTCCATAATCTTGGCAAGAATCTGATCAATTGGAACAAAATAGCATTTATCTTCTACAGTTACAGAATGCATTGACTTTAGACCAGCTTAAAATCTTTGTTCTAATCGCACGCCAAGAGGTATTTCTATTGGTTTTATAAAAAAACCATTATCCACTAACCACTTCTCTCTTTTATAAATTGTATCAATGTTATTTGTTATATTACTAATGTTTAGCATTTTCATTAAAGCTTCATTGATAATTGTATTATCCTGCGCTAAATTTAACGGGATTATCAGATCTTTAAGTAGTTGTGAACCAAAAAGTGATATGTCATTAATAACTCCAATCATATTTTCCATTATAATTTGTGAGTTACTCAAAGTAATGTTAGCTTTTGCAGATAATTCTGAAAAAAATTTCATAATTGATATTTCTAAATTGATGCATGTAGGATTCTCGACAACCTCAATAATGTCATCTGTATGATTAGTTTGACTTTCAATTGTTATTTCTTCATCAGTAATATCTAAATCAAAAATGATAGAATACATATATATATATAGAAAAATTATTTTTCCAGTGTGCAGTCCTAGTTGATTAGATTAGATTATGCTTTTATATTAGAGTATTACACTTGATTGCTATTACTTTTCACAATAAATTTAAAATATAACCATTAAAAATTTAAATGCATGAGAAATAATAATAATAATAATAATAATATATGTATATATATATATATATATATATATATATATATATTTTATATATATTTTATATATATATATATATATATATATATATATATATATATATATATATATATATATATATATATATATATATATATATATATATATATATATATATATATATATATATATATATATATATATATATATATATATATATATATATATATATATATATATATATATACAGAGCCGGCGCTAGGCACTAGGCAGACTAGGCAGCTGCCTATAAAATATAAAAAATCTAACTAAAATTATAATTTTATTATAATTATAAAAATTATATATAACGATGAGAAATTTTCCATTTCCAGTAATTGAGCATAAACTGCAAGGCAAATTAGCGTATCACTTGCAGGCTTTAGGCAAAGGCAACATGTAGTGCAGTAATGTTATTAAATAGTGACTCCTGCTTCTTGTCTCTCGTCTGTGTTTATATTAATAAAATGAGAGATAATTAACAACTTGAGTTGCGTTTTCCAAATAAAGTAAATATTTTCTTTTTAAATTATAAACACAACAAACAAAATTGTATATTATCCGTTCGCTGTTCCTCATGTTCATTCGATCGCCCGCTTATTCAATCAGTTGTTTCACATTCATTCGCTTGCGTTTGGTTAACGAGTACTAGACACTTCTTCTGTCTGTCTCTGATTCTTTGAATAAATGTCAATTTAACTCTTTTCCTCTGCAAGCCGCTGATAGCGGCTTTTGATTTTTTTTTATTATGACTGCAAGCCGCTGGTAGCGGCTTTCGAGTATGCTTCATAATTTATCCTGTTTTGTGCATAAATCTAGACACATAATTTGTTTTTTCTTAAAGTTTAATTAGTTCTCTTCATAATCAAGTACAAGTATGAGCCGTAATGTGTAACTATAATTAGTTATCACTTGACAAAGTTAAAAAATCTCAAGTAATCCTTGATAAAAAAAATTTCTTTAAATTTAGTTCGTAATTAGTAAAATAAAGCAGCGTTAACACTGTAAAATTTAACTTGTAAAAGCGTGTGAGTATTTAGCTAAGTAATTACAAAGGTTTTTTTTTCAAGAAAAACGTTCTTTTTATACATTAAATAAGTTTTATTTCGGACTTTATGTTTTATTTATTTTATTTTTATTTTTTTATGTTACTATTTATAAAAACGATGGTTTAAGTACCTTGCATTTCTTACTGTTCAACGATGCGTGTTAAAAACTTATTTAATTAAAAAGTTCATTTGTTTATCGTTCAATTAATATATAGTTTGTAACAAACTATATATTAATTGAACAAAGCTAACAAATTGTTACGCTTTTAAAAAGATATACTATTCGAATTTTAATTAGTTTTTTATGTTATTTCATCCAAATTTTATTCAAAAAAACGTGCGATCACAGCGAAAAGATTTTTGTTAAAATGGCGGTAGCAAAAGAGTTAAGTGTTGACTATTATATTTTATTTATAACAAGTATTTAACTGACAATATTCTTATCGATTGAAAAGGTAGTGTATTACTTCAATTCTACTATTTTACGCTAGCAAGTAATAAGTAAATATTTTATAACTACACATTTCTTACGTTTTTTAACCATGTCTGAGAAAAAGAGACTATCAGTAAAGAAAAATAAAGAAAGTCAAAGAAAAGCTATTTTGAAATAAAACACATTCTACAGGTACTGATTCTGCAACTGAAAGCGATAGCGGTGTGAGTAAAAAATCTAAAGTGATAGTTGACGATAAAACTGTTAATAATGCTAATATTTCAAATCAACAAAATGAAGTTGTAAATATCAATGAAAACCAAATTTATCTACCTGAAGCAACTCCTGCTGTTAATATTTCAAGTCAAATTGAAACTGAAACTCAAATTAGCATATTATCATCTGCAGACTACAGTGACCCTGCAAATTGGCCTACTCATTTTAGTGACATTTTTCGGCAATTTGTTATAAAAAATAGACCGCAACAAATTGAAAAATATAACTTTCCACGAGATCGAGATGAACAAAAAAGAAAATTTTCATCAATCTATTACAAGCGGATATTACCAAATGGAGAAAAAGTCTCTCGTTCTTGGCTTATATATTCAGTTTCAAAAAATGTAGTTTTTTGTTTATGTTGTAAATTATTTGGTAAAAGCAAAAGGAGTTTGCCGGCTTTAGAAGGTTCAGGTTTAAACGATTGGAAGAATATTGGAGCACTTCTTTCTTCTCATGAAAAAAGTAATTCACATCTCGTAAATTTTCAAATGTGGAAAGAACTTGATATACGTTTATCTACAGAAAAAACCATTGATCATATTAACCAACAAAAAATTAATGAAAAAGAACAATATTGAATTTTAGAAAGATTAATTGCCTTAGTCAGAGTACTGGCTACGCAAAACTTGGCATTTCGTGGAACAAATGAAAAGATTTACAATAACGCCAATGGTAATTTTTTAAAATTTGTTGAGTATCTCGCTCTATTTGACCCATTAATGAATGAACATGTGCGGAAAATTAAAAATCAAGAAATTAAAACTGCTCATTATTTTGGAATAGAAACTCAAAACGAATCAATACAAATACTAGCAAATGCTATAAAAGATAATATCTTGACTAGAGTAAAATTTGCTAAATATTATTCTATAATTTTAGACTACACCCCAGATAATAGCCATACAGAACAAATGACAATAATAATTCGTTTTGTTGATTTAGAATCACCAACATCGCATGATGGGGATTTAGTTAAAATTAAAGAACATTTCTTAGGATTCATACCTGTGGAGAAATCTACAGGTGGTTTTTTGGCAAAAACATTAATTGAACAATTGGAAAATTTTAAGTTACCAATTGAAAATCTCCGTGGACAAGGATACGATAACGGAAGCAACATGAAGGGTAAGAAAAATGGGGTACAAAGAAAGATTTTGGATATAAATCCTCGGGCGTTTTTTATTCCATGCAGCGCACATTCACTAAACTTAGTTGTGAATGATGCATGCAAGTGTAGCTTAGATGCAATAAGTTTTTTTGGTGTGGTGCAACAGATTTATAGTTGTTTTTCGGGATCACCTTCTCGTTGGCAAGTTTTTCGTAGCTATTTTCCAGATTTTACTGTCAAGTCATGAACTGATACAAAATGGGAAAGCCGCATTAATGCTTTAAAACCATTACGATACAATCTCGGAAAAATTTACGATACTTTAATGCAAATATTTGAGGATCCAAGATTACAAACTACATCAGTAGGAAATTCTTTCCGAAATGAGGCTAAAGGGCTTGCAAATTCTATTTGCATATTCAAGTTCATGGTTGCCCTTGTTTCATGGTACGACATTCTTTTTGAAGTTAATATTTCTAATAAAATATTACAAAAAAAGAAAGTTGATTTGAATGTAGCTACACAACAATTAAATATTACTAAAAACAAACTTGTAAAAATGAGAAATGATGAAGGCTTTCAAAGAATTATTGTTGATGCTGCTGAAATTGCAAAAGAATTGGAAACAGTAACAAATTTTGAAGAAAAACATGTCAGGAGAAGGAGGAAAAAGCGACAGTTCGATTATGAAACACAAGATAAAGCGTTGCAAGATCCAAAAGAAAAATTTAAAGTTGAATTTTATTTTAAAATTTTAGACACTGCTATACAGTCTATTGCGAAAAGGCTTGAACAAATGCGACAGTATAATAGTATGTTTGGCTTCCTTCATGATATTTATCTATAAGTTCAAAATCTTCAGCAGAATTATTGAAAAATTGTAGAAATCTAGAAGAAATTTTAACTCATGGTTCTCAAAAAGATATTAGTGCAGCGAATCTTTGTAATGAAATCAAAGTACTTTCTGGAAGACTCCCACAACAAATGACACCACATGAAGTACTAACTTTTATATTTGAACAACGTTCAACTATAAAAGTTAGTACTTTTATATTTGAACAACGTTCAACTATAAAAGTTAGTACTTTTATATTTGAACAACGTTCAACTATAAAAGTTAGTATTTTTATAGTTAAAAAGTACTATAAAAGAACTTTTTAACTATAAAAGTACTTTTATAGTACTTTTTAGCCTCGTTAATTGACTGTCTACCAAATATATGTATTTCTTTAAGAATACTATTAACACTTCCAGTGTCCGTTGCAAGTGGCGAGCAAAGTTTTTCGAAGTTAAAAATAATTAAAAATTATTTGAGGTCGACAATGTTACACGAACGACTGGTGGAATTATCAATAATTTCGATAGAACACGAAGAATCATCAATATTAAATTTGAAAGAAATTGTAAAAACATTTGCAACAAAAAAAGCCAGAAAAATAAAAATTTAAATATGCTTTTATTTTTATTATTACATATTTTCAAAATTCAAATGAACTTTCTAGTTTCTGAAATTCAAATTCTCTAATAATTTAAACATCAAATCAGAAACAAGTTTTTTTATTCTTTGTAACTATATTATATTCCAAGTTTTCAATTTTTATTCTTAATTCTAGATTATTACTTATTATTATTTCTTGAGATAAGCTAGGTTAATTATTATTATTTTGGTGCGATTAAATATTAGGAATAGTCTTCATTAATTCTATTAAATGTTACTTTCATTCTTTGAATGTCATAAAATCTCAAATATTTTTATTCTTGTAAATAAAAGTTGAGTGGCTGAAATCCTAAAATGCCAAAAATAAATATTTAATACTTAAATATGTCCACCATTTTATAATGTTTATGCCATTTTAAATAAAATTAATATTTATGTTTTGCTCTTTCAAATTAAAATATTTTTTTTCGGAGGGAGGGGGGGGGGGGTTGAACTTTTTTTGCCTAGGACGCCAAATACCCTAGCGCCGGCTCTGTATATATATATATATATATATATATATATATATATATATATATATATATATATATATATATATATATATATATATATATATATATATATATATATATATATATATGTATAAATATATATATATATATATATATATATATATATATATATATATATATATATATATATATATATGTATGTATATATATATATATATATATATATATATATATATATATATATATATATATATATATATATATATATATATATATATATATATATATATATAAATGTTGATGATTTTATAAAAACCTTGTTTTCCGCCATTTTGCTAAGAACTTTATTATATCAAAACAAATGAAATTGGCGGGAAATTTAAAGTTAAGTTTCTTGCTCGTAGTACTTGTTTTAATATAGTTTTTAAATCATAAATATTAAATATAGTTTTAAAAAACGTGCTTTTGTCATTATATACTATTTAAAAGTTTGTTAAAGTATTTATTGACAATTTTAAAGAACGATTTATTATTCGATAAGTACAGCATGTTTGAAAAAGCTTAATTGAACAACTTTGGTATTTCCCGTTTCAAGAAATACCAAATTGTTACATCCATTAATAACACATATTACTTAGTAAACTTTATATTACATGTAATATAAAGTTAATTTATATTACATGTAATATAAATTAACTTTATATTACATGTAATATAAAGTATAATTACTTAGTTAACTTTATATTACATGTAATATAAAGTTAACTAAGTAATATGTGTTATTACAGGATGTAACAATGTGAAAATTGTTAAAAGTCATAACAAGATAAAATTTGAAACAGTGTAAAGTAAAAAAATATGTAATGTAATTTAAAATGTGTCTAATATATTAGTTTTATTATAATGATGGTTCTTAAAAACGATAACAATGAAAAGATTAGATCTTATCCCAAATATACGTGAATTAGGAATTGATAAATTAAAATTATGGAAGGATTTACTTAATTAAATAAAAAATACTGAAAAAATTCGCAAAGAAAACTTAAATAAAGTTAAACTTGCTTTAGTTATATTTATTTCAAAGGTGAAGAAAAAACTAAAACAATTTGGACGAAACTATGATACATTTATACAAAAAGAAGATCGTTGGCTTCAAAGAAATCTTATGAACATTAAAAATAGCCATTTTGGTTCCCCATAAACAATGGAGTGTTCTTGGAGAGAGAAGCAAAATAAAAAAGATAAAAGAACTAGCCACTGAACATGATGAAGCTCTATTTTTAGCTTCTGCAAAAAGTGTAAATGCTGCTGGAGAAAAAAAAAAGCCTCTGTTTTAAAAAACAATATATCTAATGTTTTAGAGATAGAAAAAGTTGATAAAACTTTGGATAAAACCTTTCCCATTAACATGAGTGTAGAGGATGCTCTTGCATTAAAAATGATTACTGATCTCAGCGATAAACAATATCAAATGATCAGAAACTCAGCTCTTGTACACAACGTACATATTTATCCTACCTTGCACGATATTTTCGTGGAAAAATTGAAATGCTATCCTGAGAATATACATTTTTCTGAAATTTCTGCAAAGTGTACTCTTCAAAGCATGTTAGATCACAGTGTGAGTAGAATAACAGAAATGATTGATATGCCTAATTTTGGTCAAAGTGATGAAATATTTGGAGTTTTATATGGAAAGATTGGTTTTGATGGAGCATCAAGCCAAAGTATTTATAAACAGAAATACGATACAAGCAACGCAAGTATAGAACTTAAGCATGAAGAAAATCTTTTCAGTACAGCTTTTGTGCCTTTATTGCTCAAAGTAGAAGATGGCAAAATTTGGAAAAATGAAAATCCTTCAAGCTGTCACTTTTGTAGACCTCTTCATCTACAATATAAAAAAGAGAATCCATCTTTATCCAGAGAAGAATCAGATCTAAAAAATCAAATAAAAACCTTAAAGACGTTTTGCAAAGTTTTTAATATTGCAGGAAGAATTTTGACATTTAATATCAGCTATAGGATTGATCTTACAATGTTTGATAATAAAGTAGTTAGCGCACTTACTGAGACAAAACCCACTCAATCCTGCAATGTGTGCAATGCTAAACCAAAGGTAATGAACAATATTGATTTATTAAAAGCAAAAACTGAGAATGACTCGGCTTTGGGGCTCGGAATTTCAGCTTTGCATTGCTGGATAAAATGCTTGGAGTTCATTCTTCATTTGAGTTATAAAATTGAAATTAAAAAGTATAAGCCAAAAAAAATTGAAGAGAAACTATCGGTAGATCTGTAAAAAAAGAGATTCAGGTACTCTTCAGAGAACGTTATAAGCCTATACGTTGATATGCCTAAAACGGGGTCTGGAAACACGAATGACGGCAACACTGCCAGAAGAGCATTTACAAATAGTGAAGTTTTTTCTGTAATTACTAAAGTTGATTGTGATATAATTAAAAGATTGCATAATATTCTCATAACCATATCTTGTGGATATCCTTTTAATATCAATGAATTAGATTTATACTGCACTGAAACAGCTAAACGTATAGTGAGTTTATACAACTGGTACGTTATGCCTCCTACTGTACATAAATTGCTACTGCATAGTACTTCTATATCAAATAAATTACCTTGCCTATAAATTTTAAACAAGTTTGATTGTAATAAATGTTAACATGTTGATTAAAATCATGCAACAAGTGAAGAAGTAAAACAATTTGTCCAGAAGAATGTACAAAAATATACAGAGATCAATAATAATACTGGATTAGTAGCATTAGGATTGCCAACCATTTCTTACAACTTTGGTATCTTTAAATTGGACATTAAGAACATGAGGCCTTTTTAATCCATATTGTATATAGCCTCTATAATTTAAACACAACTAACTTCGAGAAGATTGGGCACATTAATTTTACTCGCTCCAAGCGCTAAATATGTAGCTACATTAATGTCGACCAAGTAAATACGTAATTAACGACAATAAAAACAAAAACAAAAAAAACGACTTTCTTTTTCGTTAAATTATACTTTTAGACATAACCAAAACGTAGCGTGTGATTCTCTGGCGCTTAAGGACCTGAAATCGAAAGAGAATGAGCCACACACGCTTATCTCACTATCTTTAAATATGGAATTAAATATTGGCTAAAAATGTCCAAATAATTTAAAAAAACCATTAACTTCAAATTTATAAACTCATATACGAAACTTAAATTCTTCTGGGTAATTTTTAAATAATTAAAAACTTTTACAATATAATCTTAAAGAAAAATCCGCTCGTTATCACAATTTCTTGATCTTTAAATATTATTTAACCAATGAAACTTAAAAAGAGCGAGAGTAAAAATATATTGCAACATAAGGGCGTTTTTAATAGTAAAAAAAATTATTAATTTAAGCTCAAATTTTTTATTACAGAGCAAAAAGTATATAATCAATTCTTCAGGTTACTTATATGTCCGCTCCAAAGACAAAAATATATTTGCAACAAACGAAATATCTTATTTAAAATATTTATTGTCTATTAGACGATCGAAAATTCGGTCGATTGTACGAAGGTTGCGGATGAGTCGGGGACCACGCGTGACTTGACTGATTATTTGGTGAATTGATATAGTTTTCACAAGGGTGATTTCGCATGTTTTGATTCTTTGAGTAACTTCCATTTTGAGAAAAATCAGATGAACTGAAATTTGGATTATGTGAAGAGTTTACTGAATGATTTGGAGTCGGAAAACGCGTGTTCGGATAATCCTGAGTATTCGAATGATTTGGAGCAAAATTAAAACGTATTTCCTGATTTTGATGAAATGGTTTATTATTAAAATTATGCTGTATTGGAGATGCTGATGGTTCAATTATTGGCTGAAATTCTGCTGGTTGATATCCCGCCTGAGGCTGGTACCCATAGTAAGATTGTCTGGCATTTCCTTGAGCTGGAATTAACTGACCATGACTTTGCAAAAACGCATTATTTGGTTGATTGTAAAAACTATTATTTGGTTGATTGTAGAAATTGTTATGCAGATTTCCTACCGCTTGATATGCATTTCCAGGTTGTTGATTTTCGAATCTGTTCAGTGACGGTACTGATTGATTATTCATATTATAATCGTACGTTTGTTGACTATCAAATCTTTTTGGGGGTCCATTAATGTTATAACTACTTCCTGATTGAGGACCGTGAAAATCAGGTGGCGGAACATAAGGTCGATTGTTACCATTAATCTGTTGATTAGAGAAACCATTCTGGCAGTTAGGATAGGTTGCTAGATTACTTTTTATTTCTTGATCATAAAAATTGTTTTGAGGTATAGAGTTAGCGATCGGACCATTTGGATTAGACATTCGGTAACTAGGCATATTTAAATTCCTGTTGAAATCATTATGCGCATCAAGTGGTATGTCTGACTGTTTGTGCCGATATTTGTAGGGTTCTGAAAACCTTGAGGCATTACGGGGAACATAATTTGCGCTTGGCATGTTATTCGGCTCAAATCTTTGATTCGATGCTGTGGGTAGAGGTCTGATAGGCACATTTGGCCTATTGTGAGAAGACATAGGCATTGAAAGATCTACAAAGTTTTTAAAATTAGCATTTTGAGGGTTACAGTGACCATTCTGTAAGGGAAACCTCTTGGGAAAATCAGACGACAGGTTTTTATTTTGTAAAGAATCTCGATGAAAAGAATTAGCGCTTTTACTATTTGAATTAAAATGATTTTGATTTTGCGGGTATTGATTTGTAACACTTTTAAAACTAGAGTTGTCAGAAATTGATAAGTCTTTGGTCTTGTTTAGATTATTATTTCGTGGTGTATGTTGGGTTTTAAATGGGTGATGCTCAATTGCATGATCCATTAAAGGATTAGTTCCATTAAATCGATTAGCTAGTCGATTCCGTGCAGCATTACTAGCTCTGGCATTTTTATTTTCTACAACATAAAAAGTTATCAACTTAAATATAACAATTTCAATTAAATTCTTAAATATAGGTAAATTAATAATTGAATTGATAAATCTAGGTAATATACTAAATTGAAATAATTAAAAGATAAGGTAATAATTTAAAGACAATAAATACATTAACTTATTCAATCTACATTATATGGAATAAGTATTGTATTAGATTTGATGTTCCAAGTTTAAATGAATTAAGTTAATTAAAAATGAAATAAAACTTAAAAAAGATTAAATTTAGCTAACCAGGCATTTTGTTTGAATCAGCTTGAAACTTTTCTTTTCTATAGATAAATAAAACTTAAAAAACTATACAATATGATATTGTTCGATACAAACAAACAAACAAAAAAAAAAAAAAAAAAAAGTAGATGTTTAAAGCCGACATTTAAAACTATTTAATTTTGTTTTCACCTTTCACTCTTTAATTTTTGCTTAGCTTTCCGTTCTTCTTCTTCGTCAGAATAGTCTAGAAACTACATTTTAACAATGATACATTAACTCATGCACAATTGACACTAGATAATAAAAGTAATTTTACAAACAACTCACTTCAACTGGTGGCTCTTGATCACCTTTCCACGAAGCATCTGACCCTTTTAAACTGAAAATAGAACAAAAATTAGAAGAATATTGTTGTCATTGTATTGTATATAGTAACAAGCAAACTTAAACATATTCTAAAACAAACTCACTTTTTTAATTGTTCAACAAAAACGTATTTAGTAAGTTCTTTATTGAACGGCACAAAAAAAACCTTTGTTCCTTTTGATAATTTTGATACATCAGTTTTTGCTAAAAGTCGCATTGTATAATAAGGATGTTTCACTGGACCAAAAGTATCAAATACCTAATTCACAATACATACAGGCTTTTTAATAAGGTTAAAAATGGCAAGGCCATAGTTTTGGCTCTTCATTTAAAGTCATATTAAAAGCATTTGACCCTAAAAAGTTAAAAAATGTTGATTTATTTTTGTACTTACCACCTGCTTAAAAATTGTCAATAATGATCAAAAAATCATGTTTATGTATTTTATAAACTTTTAACTAAATATTCAGAATCTTAGTATATCTGCGCATAATACCCAAACATATTAGCTTTGCAAAGAACCATTTCACATTCACAAAAATCTATTTAATTTTTGCACATAAAACTCTTTGAAAATTAGAAAGTTAATGTAAAAAGGAGAGAAAATAACAAACAAAAACTGACAACACACAAAACAAAAAAAACATACAACCAACCTTTCCTAAATAATGTTCTGAACTCAGAAAAAATGCACTTTCTGCATCTAAAGCTGGAGCATTTAAGTCAGCCTCCACTACAACTAAAAATAAAAAAAGAGACCATCAAAAAGAGACTCTAAGGCAACATACACCATATTATTATTTATCATAATTTATCTTAACAATTTTATTTAACCACTAAACGGCTTAAAATCTTAATTAGTAACATTTTAAAAACAAGAGTCTTAAACCATATACAAATACTTAATAGGGTGCACATACACTGTAAATACATGATGCACATACACTGTCAAAAATACATGGTGCACATACACTGTCAAAAAAATAACAAACTATCATACTCAACTTGTCCACAACAGACAAAATTGAACCAACAACCATCAGAGTATCTTCTTTAGTAAGTTTGATATCTTCCTCTTCTTCAATGATAGGTAGCTCCTAAAAGAAATAAAGTTCTTGTTATATGTAGAATTTTTTGAATATAAATTTAATCACAAATGTGCATATTTTACAACTTGTTTTTTTTTTCCCAGAACAAAATACTATTTTCCTTAGCCAAAAAAAGGTCCACAGCATTATTTAAATGAATACCATAAAAACAGAAAAGAATTGCAGATCACCAGTGTAGTAACCAACAAGGTTATAATTTATATATCTTTTTACAACATACTAGTCTTAGTATCATTATTTATTTTATTATGTAATTATGTTTCATTTATGTTTATAAATACAATATATAATGTATAATTTATGTATCAATATCAAAAGTTTTAATCATTTAATACAGTTAACACAGTTTTGTTAACATAAAGTTAACAAAACTGAGTTAACTGTATGTTCTATTGGTATTTTTTAAATTGTTATTTGTATAAAATTGTTTTCTTAAATAAATTTATGATATCTTACTATTAGATGCGATATAAAACACCTTTTTTTTCAGCAGTCAGATGAATAGCAATAAATCAATCTTTAAGGCATTTTTTAATATAAAATGTTAAAATGATTCACTAACTAAAGGTTAAAAACTACATTAAGATATTAATACATTTAAAAAATAAAACGTAAAAGAATCTCATAAGCAATAATTAAAAAAACAAACAAATAATAAAAAAAAAAAAATCAATTCAATTTACTTCTAAACAAGAAATAAAACTAACCTCTAGAAGCACTTCATTGTGAACTTTAGGAATATAGTTAGAGATTTTTGATTCATCTTGAATAATGGCTGCAAGATTTTCTCTTTAAAAATTTCATCAACAAAAATCAAATAAATGCTTACAACAACAACAAAAAACATTAAATAAACATACTAGGGGTGGGAATTTTATACATTTTTTTTCTTGAATCAACTTTATTACTACGGGCGAAGAAATGTTATAAAAAAAACAGATTCAAAAACCTTTTGCACAAACTCATTTTTTTGAAAAAATAAAATTTTTCAAAAATCAAGTATTTATGTTATTAAATAAAGTTGTGACAGATCGAAAAGTCTTGTTTTTAAAAGGAAAGACCTTTGTAAACTAAAATATTATTTAAAAAAAAAAAAAGAAGTAACAAATATACATAGGGCTGAATATACCTTACAGTGCGGAGGCTAGAAGGTCAGAGCCGCCTCCCTCCAACTTGTAACTAGAGCGTTAAAATCTTCCATTACTAGGCGTGCTACTAAAAAAATCCTTAATTTGAAAAAGGGCCCCTATTATTAGAAAAACGCCCCCAAATTTGCAGATCCTACAGTTTGTCTACCATGGCTAGCCTCCGTGCTTACAAACTATGCATTAAAAATCTATGTAACTTGTGGTTTGTTATTGTTTGTTGAGTTCTAAGTTTTTAGTTATAAGACTTTAAAAATTGCATCATGGAAGTAAATATAGTTCTAACACTAAATTATTATATTACAATAACACATATAGAAATTTGGCTTCTAAGTTGATGAATTTTTTTTTAAGAAACAATTTAACTTTTGCAAGAGACCTTTTGCACACTTCATTTGTGTAATTAATGTCTATTGGACAATAATTTCAAATATCAGTGTCTTTTCAAACACTCTAGGAAATTACCAGTTGATGCCAATTTTAACTTCGTCATATCATCAACATTTCTTCTGCAATAGAACCTTGGCTTGGTCTGGTGATCTACAATAAAATTTCATGCCTCTTTTATTGATTATTTTATTTCTATCACTGAGTCAAAAGCATGTGTTTCAAGCAATAGATAGCTCTTAAATTCTATTGTGCATTTGAAATAAGCCCTGGTTTAGAAAAATGAATCGCTGGTAAATTCAATATGTCTTGATAAGACTTTTATCCTTTACATAACAAATCTAGCTCATGGTATAATCATTCTTGACATATTTTTGACTTTCAATAACTGGCTCGTTAGGCTTGTATTTTCTAATTAAATCATGGTAATTACTACTGAACCTTATTTGAGTTCATAAAATCCTTAAGAATTAGGTCGAGAATATGAAGCTGACAAGAATAATACACTAAACCTAGAACAAATTTAGTCAAACGCTTTAAATTACCCGCAAATTACTCCGTTTTTAGAACCTGTATTTACTGTGGTGTAGTGTCACATATTGCAACAGAATTTACCGTGGTGTAGTTAGGGCATCCAATGCTGGTATACCTAAAACAGGTATCTTAGTATTCCGACTGTTTTTCGCATACCAATAGCGAGCTCTCAATACCGGTATATACTTGTATTTCAGTTATTTTTCTCATACGACATAAACTTTTTGATGAGACTTTGTGAGTGTTTAGACACAGAGATTTTTATAGAGTAATAAGCGCAAAAATATCACTGAAGAAAACTTTTATTATAAATATGGATAAAAAAAAAGATTTTCTTAGATGTAGAAGGGCTTTTTTAATAAACCAAAGTATTAAATAAGTTACATTTATATTTTGAAATAAACTCTTTTAATATAATCTAAGCGAGAAAATATCACAGAAGAGAACTTAGATTCTTGAAATAAAAAAAGCCTTTCTAGATAAAAAGTTTTTTTTTAAAAATATTTAGTTACCTGTTAGTATAAATTTTTTTATAATTAAATAATCAGATATTTTTTGAAAAAAAAATTTTTTTTTTTTCACTTTGCTTTTTGTAACTTTGTAATGTTGTGCTACAAAACAAAGTGTTTGTTTTACTTTGTTGTACTCACTTTATATTTATTTGTAAAATAACAGCAACAACTAATAAAGACAAAAAATAAATTTAAAAAGAATATTTAACACACATGTATTCAAAGTCATAATATAATTATATTAAGTTCGTAAATAATTATAATATAATATATATTTTTGATATTTATACTTTTTTGTACTTTAATATCATTTATCATATTTCGAATTTCAGTATTCAAAAACATGCTGCCCTAGCCATGACTGATGAAACAAAAGTATCGGAAGATTTTCAAAAAACCCTTCAGGACAAAAACTCTGTGTGGCAATACTTTTTACGCGATAAGTCTGGAGCTGTAGCAAAATTTAAAAAATATACTAGAGAAACAAAGACCTGTGGTGACTCGACTAGTGGACTCGATACACATTTAGGACTTCTCACCAAATAAATCAAATTTAGGACTTAAATAAAACACATTTAGGACTTCTTACCAAATCAATAAAATAATTTATTGAAACGTTATCCAGTTGAAGTTTCAATTTCACCATCTACTACTGGTGTTTCCACTACACCTGATTTGCAACTCGCTAGAACCAGAAATAAAATTCTAACTTATTTTACAAAAAGTGAAGACAAAGATACACTGTCAAATGTTTTAGCTGAAATGACGGCCACCCAAGGCTTGCCATTCAGAGTTTTTATAACATCCAATGAGCTAAGAAAATTGCTGATGGCTTGAGGTTTTGACATGCTAAAATTATTTCACCAAATAGTTAAGAAATTTGTTTCTAAAATTTAAAACTCGAGAATAAAAGAATTATCTGAACTTCAACCGTAAGAAAACCGATTTAGTTTTACATTTGACGAGTGGACTTCTTTAAAAAATACTTATTTGAGCATTAATGTTCATTCTAGAAACAGATTTTAGATCTGAACTAGACGAAATAAAATTTTTTTGGACAGACATTTTTTTGGAATAAGACTTTGATTAATGACTAGTCAACCGAGAGTTTTAGTTGATGGAACTTTCTTCGAGAATGAGTTTGGTGGAACTAGAGATGGTAGATTCTTTGAGCAGCAACCATGATAGCATTTGTAGAAAAGAGAAAGAGATGCAACTTTACGACAATAAGAAAGAGGCTCAAGCTTAGCAGATAGACCAGGTCCAACTACGTTTACAATGCATTTTCGGACCTTGCCTAAAAGAGAAAGAGCATTAGAAGAACCAGCCCAAATAAATACAACAGTATTCCATACAGGTATGAATAAGAGATTCATAGAGGTAGAGAATGGAATCAGGAGACTGTTGTCATTAATTTTATATACTATTTTAACTTAAACAAAATTTTTAAACTGTTTATTTGTTACTTTTGGCTTTAATAAATTTTTTTTTAAGTATTTGTAAATACCGGTATATCGGTTTTCACTAAATCTAATACTGAAAAACTGGTATTTAATTTTTGGTCTGGTATTGGAAGCCCTAGGTGTGGTGTCACATATTACAACAGAAATTTTATTTAATAAATTAAATTTCAAAATAATATTGTTTAACATGTTACAAATAGAAACAGAGTTGCCTTTCTCTAATTTTTTCAAAGATATAACCAAACATTTAGACTTACTCAAAATGCAAGTGCTAAAATAATGTTGTTTTTCTATACTCTTACCATCAAAATGTAAGCACCACATTTCTTTAGATAAGTCTATATAAGAACGAATCAAGCTTAACTCATGCACAAGTTTTGTAGAAGCTTTTTGGACTGCCGACCTGCAAATCAATGTCTCACCAACTGCATTGAGTACAACTTCTTAATCTTTGCATGTTTCAATGGGATTGTGTAAGCTTCACTTGTACTATTATCTTCTTAACTTTTACTACTAAAGTTCTCTTTATCGCCAAACGATTTTGTTTAAAGTTCTTATATAGTAATTAATAATATTTTGTTTAAAGTTCTTTTCTTTTAGGTGGCAGGTCTTGCGGATTTGTTGTAATAGGCTCTGTAATAATACTGCACTGGCCTTTGCACCCATTAGAAGATTTCTGAAGTTTGAAAAAGAGTTTGTCTTCCAGAATTTATAATTTAGCATTTTTAGGAAATAAGTCCAATAATTTATCCCAGCTATTTATAATAATTGTCTTCTTATTTGTACTTTGTGAAGATATAATAATAAACTTATAATTTTGAATAGCAGACTTTACCTTTCTTTGCACAGATTTTTTTGTAAAAGATGGTATCATCATTTTATTCCATAATTGACAAACTTCAATTTAGATTTCTTTAATAACATCACTTGATCTAAGAATGTTACCATATTCAAAAAAAAAAAAAGGAAATAATATCGTCCTAATATCTCCTTTGTTACATAACTTGTTTACATAATTTTGAAAAATCCATCAAAGACTTTTACTCCGAATATCTTAAAGACAATATCTTATATTTTTATGTTTTTATGAGTTTTAGGTAATTACTCCACTGATAGTTTAGGGCTATTACTTAATAAAAAAAAATTCCCACCACTAATACATACTGCGTGAATAAACATAAGACAACAAACAGGAATTAATAAATAAAAAATTTACTGCATATTTAGAACTAGTCAGAACTAAATATATAAATGTATATTTTATGGAAAAAAATTATCAGCAAATTGCATTTTCATTTCAATATTTTTCTGCTTCTCCTCAAAGTTAAACAAATTTTGCCAGTGCTTAGTTGTTTACCAACTTTACAAATGTACTTAAGAAATTTAAAGTCAGAATATTTAGCAAAATTTATTGGTAAAAAAGCAGATTATACAGACTATATATTTTATATTCGATATACTTAATATATTACTTGATTATTTTGTTGACATTTTATTTGAACAGTATTCTCAACATTACCATTCCAGTTATGGTAAAAAAGCAAATTCAAAAAATTTATACACGGATATGAGTGTATATCTTGAATAAAAAGTTTTCAGACTAAGTTTTTTAATAGGACATTAACGCACATTTAATACCGATCTAAAAATTCAAAAATAACAATAGTTACAAAAATTTCACAACATTAAAATTTGAATAATTTTTTTTTTGCAATTCTGAAGAACCAACTGCCAATCTTCAGGAATTACAACATCAGCCTTCATTTTGACATTGATCACAATGTCAATATGAAAACTGTGTTTTGATCACATTGCATATATGAAATGTGATCTTTAGAATAATGATCTTGTATAGGAACGACATTTTATTACATTTAAAACATTTTTGAAAGTTGACTATGCAATGAAATGCATTTTTTAAAAGGGACAATGCAATAAACAGAACAATTAAATGATATCAATGACCTTGATGTCATATCAAGTGTTTACTTTAGACTGACTCATACTATTTATATGTCTTATTAGATAATTTATTTTCTATCTGCAATAGTTTGCACAGTTTTAACTCCTACCTCATTGAAATAAAATTACCGTTAAAGTTAAAAAGTCCATAAAAAAAATTTGTACAGGCTTATTTATTTTAATATGAACATAATTTTCACAAAGTTTTAAAAACATTTAGAAACACCAGTGAAAATTGAAATGCTAGATGTTCGAAACATCAGAGAAATGTTCCACAACTTATTTACTAAACTTTACTAATCTTTTAACTGCAGCAATATGCATTCCATTGTCAAAGGGGTAATTCCATTTAAAACTGGGAAAGTCATTTCAGTCACCTCTTTGATTTTCTTTAAATTTTACCCAATGGTACATAACAATGAAACATGAAAAAAATGTAAAATTTGAGCTCCCACATCTAAATGGTTCAAAAGTTATGACGTTTTGAAATTCAGCCTAAAATGTTCCTTTTTTTTGTAAAGTTCGCCATTATGGATTTTTAAGTTGTATTATTTAATAAATAATTTAAGATCTAGTGGAACAATATCGCTAAAAATGGGTACCTGACCATTTTTTAGGGTGCTGATTTCAAAAATGTAGAGAAAGTAGTAAAATTTATATCTTTCGAAAATAAAAAAATTATATTGCTTTGCATAAATTGCATATTTATAATCAATATTTTTAAAAGTATACATGGAAATATAATTTACTATACAACACATTGAAAAAATAATTTATATATTAATTATAATAGTTTAACTTAACATTATTACTTAATGTCTGATAATTAGGTATTGTTTCAAAATATTGGTTTCATGATTAAATATTAGATTGCATGCTCAAATGTTGTGTTAAAAAATAAGAAACTAAAATGCAAACTTTTTTGAAAAATAGTAAAAAGTCTGCTTTATTGAAAAAAGCTCAAAAGAAAAATGTAATAACCAAATATTACCAAAATTGAAGTTTACATCATTAGAGCAAAATCATTATCATCGGATACCCTTTTCATTTTTGAAAATTATAATTGAATGAGAAGAAGGTATAAATTGATGCAAACTTCTTGTCCCAGGAATAGTGGTTGCTATTAAAAGTCTATCAGTAGGATTGATTCTAACTAGCTCCATTTCTTCAGCAGTTGTTGTTTTGACATTGATTATTGATAGCCCAGTCCTCCACATTAATATTTCTCTTTCATATTCAGGAATATCTTCAAAAGATTCGATTTTAAGCAAGGATGTATATGTTGCAAGATGACACTCACTTTCTAGCTTGATTCCAATGAATCACTGTTGGCTGTTTGACTAAGAAACTGAATTACCAAACAAGATTCAATAATTATTTAATTTAAAATAATTTTAAGCTTAAACAACTGGTGTTTTAAAACTATATTAATACAACATAACTGAAGTCACAAATCTATATTTATACATCAAAGCAGGAATTGCAAAACTATATTTTTACATAACAATTCTCTTCAAAAAAACATCATTTATATATCAAAACCAACCTCAATAAACTGTTTTTACACATCACAACTGAAACTATGAGAGTCAGGCAACTCATGAAAACCTGACTTTGTTTCAAGGTTAAGTGATTTTTTACCATTATAAAATAAAAAAAAGTTATCAAACATTTTGAATTAGGTTAATTTCTTTTTCTACTTTAGATTTAGCATCTTCAAAAATGGTTAGGTTCCAATTTTTAGTCAGTTTCTTCCACTAAAACTTAAATTATTTACACATATACAATTGCTAAAAAATCTGACAGACTAATTTGAGTCTAAATAAGGAATTTTTTTTGTAAATTTCAAAATGACATATCTTTATAATGCTTTAAGAAACAAAAACCATCTTTTTTATATTAATAGCCTAAGATCGCCTACTTCATTAGAAAAAAAAATTGAATCCATAAAACTTGGGCAACTCTGGGAGTTAACGAAAGCATAACCCTAGGTAACAGAACATAAAATTTGACTGACCATTTTAAAATCAAATAATAACCATCAAAAAAATTAAATTTAACTATTTTCTCTACATTTTTAAATTTAGCACTCTAGAAAATGGTCAGGTTCTAATTTTCAGCCTCATTCTTCCACTAAATCTTAAATTATTTATTAAAAAGTACTACTAAAAGGTCCATAATGGCGGATGTGGAAAAAATAAGGCGTGTTAGGCTAAATTTTAAAATGTCATAACTTTTGAACTATTTAGATTTGAGAGCTCAAACTTACATTTTCATGTTACATTTATAGGTAAAATTTGAAAGAAATCCAAGAGGGTGACTGAAAAACTTTAATATTTTTGTCCCAGTTTTACATGGAATTACCCAAATCCAATATTGACACTTTCAAATAATATTGTATAAAAAATTTCTATATTAATTTCTGCAGTAGATCAAGACTAAAACACATTGTAAGTTAATAGAAAGATTATTATTATACATCTAAAAAATAAAGTAACACATTTGTAAATAGTATGCTAATGCTATGTGTAGTTTGTTTGACCAGTAAGTTCCTGGTAAAGAAAAAGAAATGTTTTTACAGAAGATGATTATTAAATGATCAAATAGCTTATTGGTGATTATGAGAAGTGATTGAGTGATTAACCCACAATTAAAAAAGTATCAAGAGCTTTGTTGCATCGAGAAGATCTTACAAAGAGAGGTTTACACAATATTTGTAACTCGCTGTTGATTATAAAATTTGAAACACTTTAATTCAATTAAGGAATTTTAATTTATTATTCAGAATTATACATTTCAAGTTTCAAATGCTTGAAACTCAAAATTATGTTATCAATATATTATAACTTTTTTATGCTTTTAATTTTTGCTTTTTTTATAATGTTTTTTTCATTATAAAATTTTAATTTTAACCTAAAATTAAAATACTATGAATATTTTGACGATAAAAATATGGCTTAAAATAAATAAAAAATATATTCCAGATTTTTATAAAAATCTCTCTATATATTTTGACTATTTTAAACTTAATTTAAAAAATAAAAAAAATAATTTAGTTAATAAAAAATGATTAAAAATTAAAATATATTTACCTTTCATGTTGGAAATCTACCTCATGGCTGTCCTCATCTTCACTTAAATCTTCACCATTAAGAATGCGATCTACTTTTAAAGTTAAACTAGATAACAACTTCCGCACAATAAGTTTATCTTTATTTTTAGTTTTGGGAATTACAGGTATAGGTTGTTTTTCACCATCATCAGAGCTGCTAATTAAAATTGGTTGAACTTGGTTTTTTGTAATTTCTATTACTTGGACTTCACTTGAAGAAGAATCTGAATCTTCAGTTTCACTTGAACTACTAGAGCTAACTGGAGCTAGTGATATATCTGGAAGTAATAAATTGGTATCTTCCGGTTCATGTATTTTTGTATTATCAAGAATGAACATAAGATCACTAGCTAACCCGAGATCACCTTCTTCTCTATCAGCTCGAAAATCTATATCTTCTTCCTCGAAGTATTCTTGTAAACTTAGCTCAGCATTTACAATATCAATATCGTCCATTCTATACATATATATTAAATACCGAGGATGGCCTGCAAGTATATATATGCTTAATTTTAATAATATTTACATAATTTATATATATATATATATATATATATATATATATATATATATATATATATATATATATATATATATTTATGTATTCAACATTTATAATATGTACGGATATAAATATACTAAATATTATATTAATATCCATACATAGTTAAATATTCCATTAATTGTGTATAGTTAATAACTTTAGCTTCATATTACAAATTTGAAATGGTAATATTTTTTTAATAAACTTAATTATTAAATATATTAAATAGGTCAACTACTTTTATAAACGCCTGCTATCGTACCACGTGCATTTAAATATAAAAATGCCTTAATCGCAAATTGGAGTAAGTAAGTCAAAACATTAAATTGTGAGTAACCTCTCTTATCAAACCTCTATTCCGACGGTCTCCTCTAAGTCCGCAAACATAAAAATTAGTTCAAGACAACCTGCGCAAACCCAAACCCTCAGTCGATGTATGGACACTCACTGTGCCTATGGCTATATAAATCAGTCGATGTGTGTACACTGCTATGTGCCTATTCCTATACAAGGCCGTAGATAACTTTTTTTAATGTTTGAGCTAAGCAATTTTAAAACATAAAGTAAACTCCATATTTAAGTATGTTCATATATATGAGGAATGAGGATGCTATGCAAAAAATTGCGGTGATTGAAGACTGGGAACAACAAAAACCTCAAAGCGTTAGCCCCCAGCCCTTAATAAGAGGGCATTAAGTCAAATTGTAATTTTTTTTATCTTAAAATTAATATATATTAATCGACGAATTTCAAAAATCTCTTGTTGATCGACTTTTATGACCTTATAAAGTTTACAGCCCCCTCAGTTTGAGGGGGGTGTAAACTTAAAAAAAAAATTACAAATTTGACTTTTTGTTCTCCTATTTGGGGCTGGAGGGGCAAGCGTTTGGGTTTTTTTTGTATATATTAAAATTTGCCTATTTCTTAAAAATCCCGATTTTGGACGTCAAAGGTGCTCAACGTCGAATTAGAGATTTGAAAAGAGAGACTAGCTAAATTGTGACTATAAACATTACTGTTTTTATATATATATACCTGGCAATGGCAGAGGGGATAGCGCAAGGGTAGGGGGGAGGGGAGGGGGTTTTACGAGAAAACCATTTCCCCCTATATTTTCTAAAAGTAATGTTGGTTTTTTTTGCTGATAAAAAAAAATTAATACTGTTATATAAAACACTTTTATCTATTTTCGGCAAAATATTTCGACTTTATTTATTAGTTTTAATGGTAGGTAAAATGTACCATATGCGTCTAGTGAAGAAATAATTAGTAAACTATCTGAAAAGCCTCCGCCTATAAACACGTCCACTGAAGCGACAATTCGTGAACTACCTGAAAAGCCTCCTCGTATAAATGTGTCTAGTAAAGCGACTAAAAGTGAACTACCTGAAAAGTCTTCTTTTTTAAATAAAGTTTAACAAGAAGAATCTATCAACATTGAAAATCAACTTTTTCAAATGCCCAAACATTATGTTTTCCCCAAAACAAAAAATGGAAGTCAAAATTTTTATTGCAAGAAAAATTGGTTGAAAGATTTTCTATGGTTGCATTATTATGAAAGGTAAGAAACATACATTTTTGATTTGCCTGTCAAGTCAAAAAAATCTAAATTAATTAAAAACTATTTTTTAGGTTTTTACACGTAATTCTTTGTTAAAATGATCACATTTTATTTAGAACTGACAGTATCTTCTGCTACTATTTTTTTATTTAAGAAACAAAAAAAAACCCTGAAAATCAGAGAAATAAAGAAGATGTTTATATTAACATAGGTTTCTTTTCATTGAAAAAAGCTCCAAAATGTTTTAGACTCACCAAGATTCACAAATGTCACAAAACAACCTCGTTATATTAGCTTAACGTTGTCAAATGTAAAGATATTGCAGAGTTAATGGATAAGCAGATTTTTAATAGAAGAGCTATAAAACAAAATTATCTTTTGCAAGTCATTTGATACCCTCGTTACCTCGGACGATAAGAAAAGGCTTTCCAAAATCATGATGGAAATGACAGTTTTACACAACTATTGTGCCTAACAACAAGAACTTTGTAGATCATCTTAATGAAAGAATTGGTAAAAGTATACACATATGGAGGTGCAAAACGAGATTTTGCACCTTTTTAAACTCTTCTGAAGGCTTTATAGGATTTTACCAGGTGAAAGTTAAAAATATTATAAGCAATACTATTTTACTTGTTATCAAATATGTTCTCATTAGAATTAACTTATGCTTCAATAATTAATGTCAATATTGAGTTCCAGGTTTTACAAAGTCTGTTTAAAGCGAAGTATAAACTTGTTTGTTGCATATTTTTTAAAGACTTTATACTCATTTTAACTTATTTAATTTTTTTGCCGCAATTCGGTAACTAATTTTCTCACGGTCATCACGGGCATTTGAAATAAGTGAACTAATAAAAGATAAAAGATAAAGTCTTTAAGATAAATTTCATATGTTCAATTAACTAATTAGCAGTTGAATAGCAATTAGCACTTCAGTTGAACGTTTCTTATTATTCATTTTCATGACAAGCCATATTTCTGCCTCAGTATTGGATATTGAGACTAATAAGGCTCGAGGAGCTTGTATTAGAGATTTATGACCAGGACCTGCTTGAGCAAGCACGAAGCCCGACGCGAACTTAGTTTGTAAGGCCCTCAAGTGAAAACCTTAAAAAAAGGGGAGGGATTAAAGAATACTAATGTACGAGGGTAAAATCGTGTTTATTATTAAAAATATATAACCAATAATTTCACTATATTCTATTAAATAAAAACATGCTTTAATATTTTTGTTACGAAAATCGTATATAAGTTAAAGAATGAATTCAACTGAATTTTGTTAAATATAAATAAACAGTAGTGATGTTTTAAATGTTTCTAAGTTTTTTTTCAGAAAAATTTTGTAAATTAGTTTGTAAATTCAAGTGTTTTTCTTCTTGAATTTCAATTGACATGATAACTAAACTGTTTAATCTATCCTGAGTTACTGTTGATCTTAGATAATTTTTTTATAAGTTTTAATCTCGAAAATGATCTCTCTCCAGAAGCAACGCTCAGGCTTCACAGTATCATTAGATGTATCCCTTTGTATAATCTTTGAATCTGTCAGAGCAATTTCTAAATCTAATGCATGTTTTTTAGTTCTTTTTTTATATTTTAAAATCATTCCAAAAACCCAAATAAATAATCCTGATTTTTTAATTGTTGAAAACGATCTTCTAGCTATTGTTTAGCTTTATCTAAAACTAACATGAAAAAAGATATCTTAAATGTATTTAAAGGGTCTATAATAGGCTCATCATTGCCTTTGTGACTGAAATGCTTTTTTTGTTTCCAGAGCCGCTTATTTTGAAATTTTGTATGTATTTCTAAATCTTCTGCGAGTGCTTTTGCCTTGACTTAAATGTTCTCATATCCAGTGTTTCTGTAATAGATCAACCAACTTAAAAGTTTTTCAAGACATCCTACTAATTTTAAGAGCTGCTAAGAGCAGTTGATAGGTCTACTGATTTACATTGAAGTTTGTTACTTAAAAAGTTTACTTGGAAGAGTGAGTCATACCAAAAAACTACTAAAAACTTTCTCTCATTAAGTTTCCAAGTGATTTAGCTTTTCTTTAAATTTGTGGATTTTTGGAGGTTTCTAATACTTCAAAAAGTGCATCGTAAATTTCACCTATTCGGAATCTTACTGCTTTAACAGTTTCAATTAACTTTGAATCCGACATTCCCATCTGGTATCACAAATTGATTTCGCAGTAAGCTCTTTCACATATTTGAGAAGCACTAGTAACCTGAACCTGGTAGTGTACCGTCTGAAACATATCTAAGGCTAAGAGATATTTGTTCTTTATGACTAATGTCTAGAGTACAGTCAAGAATAACAGCAAAATACTTTCCTTTTTTATTTGTTCTACAATTTTATTTCAAATTTTACTGCCTATTATATTTATAATTTCATTTTGGAATGTATTACTTAGATAATGTTCATTAGTTGTTTTATTGACAATTTGCTGTAGATGGTCCTGCATTATTGAATCAAATTTTCCAAGTAACTCTATAATACCTATAAAATTTTTTTATAGGTATTTTAGAGTTTTTCAACAGATCCTCGAAATGCTATATTGCGCTCAGCTAAAAACTGAACCACAGAAAATAGTCTTTCAAAAATTTTATAACAACAAATTTTTTCTTGATTGAAAAACTTTTGCTGCACCTTATTGATTGCTTGTTTAGCAGACAGTCTTTTTTGAAGATTTGTACATTTTAACATTGCTATCAAATGATTTTTCGAGTTTTCATGTATTGATAATCTTTTGTAAATATTTGACCAGTTATTAAATCTGGATGTAGCAAGTGCACCAAATGGCCCCCTGACACTAAATAGGTGACAATAAAAATAAAATATTATGTTCTTTTACTCAGAGTATATTATTCACGGACGAACTATTATTAGGGGGGGAGGGGTCCATAATCGTCTTTTTTTAGATTTTTTATAGTTTAACCAATTTTTCTTAATTAGTTTTTCATGCTGATTCTGAAAATCATAATCATTTTTTTTCATTTCAATTATTTAGCCTTCTACTTCAATTTTAATAAAAGTGAGTAAATTGACAAAAAAAGGCATTGTTAAAAATAGATGAAATTATTATTATCATTAGACATAAAAAAAATAGAAAACTAGAAATCTTTTTCTGTTTAATTTATCAATAATATACCTTATCATTTATAAGTAACAAAAAAAATTAAGCATTATATATGAAAATAATTCATACAGTTTGTTATTTACTATTGAAAATGGAAAATAACTATAAAAGTCATCATATGTGATAGAGATTGCTGCGTGGATTTTCCTTATAGAACATCTAGGTTATGAGCGTGTGAAATTTTCAAAATTTGATCAGTTTGTTATTTATAAAGCCTTTTAGGTAGCGGTGTTCCTTTAGCCTGTTTATATTTAGAATTGTTAAAACTTTAGAATTTAACTGAACTTTTACTGACTGGCACTTTAAAAGAAGATTTATTCTTGACTTCATTAAAGAAAAGTGAAATAAAAAATGAAATCTTGAATAGCCTTCTTGATTGCTTGAATAACGATTAAAAAAAATAAAAAAAAGGAAATTAAGATGTTTTGAAGCAATCTGTCTTTTTGATTACTTAAAACGTTTTATTTAGAAAGAGACTTCAGATAAAACTATTTTTTTGAAGCAATCTGTCGTTTTACTTATTTAAAACGTTTTCTTAGAAAAAGGCTTCAAAGAAGGCGCAAAGAACTTATGCAAAGACTTTTATTTTTTATATCTTTAAATTTTTAAAATAGAAGTAGAAGTTCAATCATAAAAAAATTAGCAAAAACTGAATTGTTTTTTAAACTTTTCTCAAAAAATTAATTAAGAATAACTGGTTAAAAAAAATAATAGAATTTAGGACCCCCCTCCCCCTACTATTATTTCTCCATTTGAAAGCTTTCTTTTCAAATGCACTTTTGGAAAATATCTTCTATCGTTTTGACAGAGAAAATCAACTGGAAGAATTTTTGGTCCTTTCTTATTATCTCGGGCCAAGTTGCAGGATCATCTGTTATACTCAGTTCTTCATCATAATATTCATCTTTACTCCCAGTCGTATTTTGTTGAATTGTTTCTACTGTAATGTTTAATTTAAGATTTTATAATTGGGCATCTTGTTTATTTTTGTTTTCATTATTTTATTATTTTCTTTTTCATCTTTTTCATTAATTTCTTTTGGATCTTGATCATTTTTCGTTTTTTTCATCTAGTTCTTTTTCAGCATTACCTATTTTAAAGTATTTATTCAAAGCACCTTTGAGTTTTTCACTATCTGCTTTTATTTTTGCAGTGAATTTTCTTTTTGTACTGCCACTTTCGAATTTTCTTCCTATATCTCTATCTCGTTTTGTTTGTTTCCACATTTTAACCAGATGATCTAGACAACAAAATAAAAGATGCTATAAGTTATAAAAAAACACTTTAAAAAAAATATATATATAATTTCTTAATAAACATTTTCAGTAAATAACAAATATAAATATATACGTTGTATTGATTGACTGGCTAGATTAACTCAAAGTTGACAAGCAATATATGTGAACTAAACCTTCGAATAATAAATTTGCGAAGACCATATATTTCAATTCTTTCCATTCAGTATTTATAACGAAAACACAACAACGGTTTTATTATCACGGCTCTAATTATATATACATTTTTTGAAGAAAACTTACTCGTTAATTGAACTCGGGCTTTGAATAGAAAATATTACATTAAGTCTATAAATATTATAAATTCTTGCGTGAAGTCGACTAATGGATTGATAATTCGTAAAATAAAATATTTTCAAATATATTTATCAATAGTTTTAATACTGAAGTGTTCTAACATGTTCCAAAATTGACATAAAAAAATTATTTGTCATTCTAATAATCTCCGCGAGGCCCTTGTTAGCGCGAGGCCCGATACAATCGCTTTTCTCGCATCACCTCTTATCCGGCCCTGTTTACTAGTAGTTCTGAGTATTTTAAAATGAGTCTTAATGTTATTAACGTTAAGGTCAACTTTCACGCTGTAACCCCAAATAGCAAAAAACATGTAAATTTATAATCAGTCTTTTTCATTATATAGCTAGAAGAAAATTGATAAGATTTTACTTTTGTAATCAATTTTTAAAGAAAACCCTAAAATAGCTTTTTTTTGTTTTCTTAAACATCTATTTAACTAAATTTCAGAAAAGATCTTTTCACTTCAGTCGAAACGTTGTAAACAGTTCTCGTCTTTATGTCAACTTAAAGTCAAATTACATCCCAGCATGCATTTTATTTTCTTATGTACCTGGTTTACATTTGAATTAAAAAAAAATTGATTTACAAGATATATTTGCCATATATATGATTATGCGTTAAAACAAAACTGTAGAAACAAACCAATAGAATAAATTGCTTAGCTATTTAATAAAGCTTTTATCGATACTTTTACTTTCTTTCTATATTGTGGGCTTTTGTATTGTAATAATTGTTTACAAAAATTCTGTTATTTAGATAAAATTAGAAATAATTGTACAACAAGCATACTTGAAAAAAAGAAAAAAAAAATTATTACTTAAAAGTCGATATAATGGAAGGTATCTTTTTAAATCTCAAAATTTTTATTTTCAATTTTTTTTTAAATAGTAATGCTACGTTTTAATTGCGATCAATCAACCATATATTTCTTAATAAGGTCTCACAAAAGATATTTAGAAATAGTTTGAAACTAATATAAAGTAAAAACCTGATTGAAATGGTTTCAAGTAATATTACCGATAAAAAAAGTAATAATATTAATGATAATAATAACAGCAATGATAAAAATGAAAATCATAATGAAAATAACAAGAGAAATAATGATATAATAATAATGATATTAATCGAAAACTATTAACACCGATACTAACAAAACAAATCATAATAAAAATATATCAATAATAGAGTTCAAAAAACGAATAGTATTATAATAGAATGGAACTGAATATTATATATATAGACAGGAAATGAATATTATATGCATACACAGGAACTGAATAATATATACACAGACAGGAACTGAACATTACATACATAGACAGGAACTAAATATTATATACATATACAGGATAAAAGCAGTTAAAAAATGACATAAAGTAGCAACCTACAAATAAAAAAATATTAATCGTAAAGAAAATGATTAATTAATATTTATAACATCTATAACCACAATAAAGAAGCAAACAGATAAAAACAGAAAGAATACTAGAACGTCTTGCAAAATAAAAAAAAAAATTTCGAAATTAATAGAAATCACAAATAAGTTAAATTTCATGGTTATTTACAATTAATACGAGTACTAATCTAAGATAAACACAAAATAATAATAGCAATTATATTAAAGCAAGTTTAATGAAAAATAGTATAATAATAGCAATAATAGTATTAGATATAGTATGACAATTTTAGTAGTAATGACAATAATAATGATTATAGCAGTGATAATAATAACAATTATAATAGTAATAATAACAGTGATAAATATCACAGATAAATATTAACCAATATTAAATAGTAATAATGACAGTAACAGTGAAGGATGTAGCATTTTTAGGTGTTTGAGATAGCTAACTTCCAGACATGGAGCCAACTCCAAACATTTGTATGTTTATACTTATGTCAAATAATAGTGCTTTAAAAAAATTGCAATGGTTGGAGACTGGGAACAAAATAGCCCTTAAATTTTATCACCAAACGGTTAGGGACAACAAGTTGATAAAATATTTTTTGTACTTTTCTTAACTAGACTTGTATTCATCAATAAATTTTAAGTTTCAATGTGTTATCTTTTAGCGTTCTAAAATTATGACCATATAACATTTGTAATCCCCTCAAGTTGGGGGTTTGAAATGCCGAGAGAAAATAGTATGAAACAAAAAATTTAAAGATGAATATAAGTCTGGTTGAGAATAGTACAAAAATTTTTTTATCAATTTGTTGTCCCTAACCGTTTGGGGTAGAGAAGGGGCAATAAATTTTAAGGGCTATTTTGTTCCCAGTCTCCAATCATTGCAATTTTTTGAGAGATGCTTATAAATAACATGAGCAAATTGTATTGTGCCATGGTAGTTTTTGAATATTTTAATAACAGCTATAGATTTTTTTCGAACAACAGAAAGGTTCCCAAACAGGGCAAAAAAAAGGTCAATTTACAAGTTTTTTGGAAAATTATATCCCGCTTGTAAGACCCTATTATATCAACCAATTTAAAAGATAAACTGTCCAAAAAAATAGTTATGTGTTTTAATACTTAAGTTTGAGGTTTTTCGTGAACATTTTTTTAGGTAATAATAAAAAAAAAATTTAAAAGTTCTCTAAGAATAATAAAAAAGATTGAAATTTCAGAAAATGTAAAATATTTATTTAATACCATATTTATGGGAAAGCAGAATAGTATCGAAAAAAAAATTGCTCGAAAAAGGGGATTATTATCGAAATTTTTTAGGTCGAAATCTTTTTTCGAATAAGTATCGAAAATTAATTTTAAGGAATTATTTTGAAAAAAAAAAAGAATTGAAATTCATTTAGAAAGAATAATGACGAAAATGCCTATACGGAATAATATTGATAATGGATTTAGAAATAGTATCGAAGAACTAGCAGAGGTAGAATATGCGAAGAGTGTTGCTACGTAGACTGACAAGCAGGTAGAACATGCAAGGAGTGTTGCTACATTGACAATGGTAGAACATTCAAAGACAAATATGTAGAACATGCAAGGAGTACTGCTACATACACTGGCAAATAGGTAAAACATGCAAGGAGTACTGCTACATCGACTGAGGGTTTGGTTTGGACAGTCTATCAATTAAAAAGAATTGAATCACAGTCATTTTTTTAATTTTCGATATTATCCAATTTATAATTGTTTTGTTTATTATGTTAATTATTTTCTTCTAATTTCTATTATATACTGTTTTTAGGATTTTGGATACTATTTCTTTTTTTACAGTTTTGATTTTATTCTCTATTTTGATATTATTCCGGAAAGTTCTTTTTCGAATTAGTTCAGCTTGGCTGTTTTTGATAATAATACTACTATCCATGTATATTATATATGGAAAAAAAAGTAGTACTTTAAAGTTAAAAATCAAAAAATAACAAATGATTGAAAAATAAGGATAAAAACGTAGGTAGTGAAAATAAAGTTAAATTGTACTATTAAGTGCAGCTTCGGCACACGGTGCTTAGGACCATGCTTCAAGACCTTACAACACATCCCCCAGAATTTTTTTCATTTTTGTTCATTATAGCTTTCCTCATTACTAAAATGTAATAAACAATTTTTTTTCAACGTTGATACTGATGTCAAATGCGGAAGATATAAAAGAAGTAGGTTAATGGAGCTAACATATTCATTTCCAACTCCAAATGCCTCCCTCCTAGATCAACGTCTCCAAAAATCATAATTTTTCGTCTATCATGACTTATATCAAAATTTATCAACAGATTTCAAATTTCATCAAAATTTTGATGAGATAAAAAAGTATCATTTAGGAATGCTTTCTTCAAGTGTGTTTTTAAAACTGTTTGCTGTTGTTTTACATTCCAACATTGAACCGCTTCCACTAAAATATGAAGAATAGCTTCAGGAATTACATTCTCTGAGTCTCTAAATTTTACTTTTTAAAGCCAGTATTAATGTTTTCATATTCAGTTTATGAATATCACATAATTCTTCTATATTATCTTAAAATTTTTTTACTATAGTTGGAGACATTAAAAAGCGATTTTGCTCCGTCTTTCCAAGTGTGTCGAGTCTTTTTATTGTTGACTCTTTAATTTCACAGAGCTCTAGCCCTTTCAACTGCTAATGGTTTATTTAATTTAATAAAAGACCAAATCAGATTGAATCAGAGTTTGCAACGTCGCCTGGAAATTTGATACCCTACTGTCAATATTGATTCTATTAGGTGGAGCAAAAATTGACTTTTTTGTTTCCAAAGCAAAGACAAGATGAATATGTTTCTCATGTGGTTTAATTTGATGGTCGTCTAGGAATATTATGTAAAGGGATATATATATATATATATATATATATATATATATATATATATATATATATATATCCCTTAGAGGCTAGGAACAAAAAAGCCCTAAAACTTTCGCCCCCTGCCCCAAACGTGAGAGCAGCAAGTAGATAAAATATTTTTTATACTATTTTTAACTAGACTTATATTCATCGATAAATTTTAAGCTTCATAGTATAATCTTTCAGTGCTCATAAATTATGACCGTTTAAATTTTGTATGTTTGGTATTGATTTGATGAAAAATAAGAACTGAGCAATCTAAATGTAAAAAGTGTGACAACCAACCCCGCTCTCCCCTACGTGCGATTTTTATAATAAAACGAATCGCACAATAAATAATATATATATATATATATATATATATATATATATATATATATATATATATATATATATATATATATATATATATATAAGTAAAATCTGTCAACTACAACAGAACTTACAATTGAAGTGAGATCTAATAATTTTTATTTTATATTAAATAATGATTTAATATAGTTTTTAAATTAATTTTAAAAATTATATAATAATTATATAATTTTAAAAATTATTTTAACTAAATTAATTTTAAAAATTAAGTAATATCTTTAAAAATAACTTTTACAATACTTTTATAAAAATTTATTAAAATACAGTAGGGGAGAGCGGGGTTGGTTGTCACACGGGGTTAGTTGTCACAACGTTTATTACAGGAAATGTAGAAAAGGTTTAAAACTTTAAAATCATACAATCGAAATGTTATATAACAAAAACATTTTCAATGTAATTTTCAGCTTTTTTTAGCGTGTAGAAAAAAAGTTATTCGTTTTTATTGGTTTTTGATATGAAAAATTTAAATTTCGCTCACTTAGAAATTTTCTTTTATTTATTCTTTTATTCATAGTATGTAATATGTAGGGGTGGTTGTCACAATTGTCTCGAGTTTTAAAAGTTTAGTTTTAAGAAATTTAATTACACTACCTGAGAGTATAAGGCCTTTGCCTTAAGCAGATCCAAGGTTAGCGTCAAAAAAGGTAGGAAAAAGCGTTCATTTCTTACTTATTCACCTATCAAAGCATGGCTTGCTAATTATAAAAAAATATATTAATAAGAATTGTAAATTATTTATTAATGGAAGTAAAAATGAATTGCTAGTCAAATTTGCCACAAAATTTCTACTGATTTAAATTCATCTAAAGATGAAGAGTATCTATGTATCTATTGTTGTGAATTATTTGCTAACAGCAGATCAAGAGAACAGTGGACTTGCCAAAAATAGGTTCATGAAGAATGCAAACCAGGCTTACACCAATTTTTATGTGAATTGTGTTTTTCATCCAACAGTTTATAAAAACACAATTTTTAAAAACACTTAAATAGTTCTAAACGTATTTATAGTGATACTAGTGATAACAATTCTAAACATGTTTATAGTAAACTAAACGTGTTTATAGTGATACTAGTTTTAAGTTAATCAAAACGTACCAAGAAATGTAACAACCAGCCCCAATGTATGTGACAACCAACCCCGTGGGTGGGGTTGGC